CTTTAGGCAACCAGGGCTGCGGGCTCTGCAGCGTGCGTGTGCCAGAGGCAGGCAGGAAAACAGAAAAGAGGACCAAAGGACTGGGGTGGAAAGAGGCAGCAGCTGAGTGGGGAAACAAGGCGAGATGTGGCGGCGGTGGAGAAGAGGGACTGCGTAGGAGGGCCAAACGAAACGGGACGTGAATGTGTAACGTAGACACAAGAATCCGTCCCTGGTGCTGGGCCATCCTGGGGGAATGGGAGGAGCGGGCTCCCTTCGGAGGATAATAAACTCTGGAATGAGGGTGTGGGCTGCTGCTCCTCGCTCCCCCCCTCATTCCACATGCATGATGACACCACATCCCACCATCTCACTGGCTTCTCCTTTTTCTTTTTTTTTTTTTTCCCAAAAAATCGTATTTTGAAGACAACCAAAAGTAGAACATGTTCTGGGTGTGGCTGCATGTGATTTACCCAATAGGCAAAGTGGGGGGGACCACTGAAGGGGAAAGACGGAGTGTCTGCTGCTCAAGGGAGTGGAGACCAAGAGCTGCAGTAAGTGATGGGGACCCTATCTATTCTCTCGGTGCTCCTCAAGATAATTTAAAAGTAGCAGAAAGTGGAGGAGATAACAAGGGAAAGCTTTTCTTTGCATGCTGGGGCTGTGTGTGGAGGGGGGCTTAGCCACCTGGATGAGAAAAGAGATAGAGACTGGAGAAAGGAGGTGGAAAGAGAAAGAAAGCAAGCAGATGGAGTTATATATTCAGTCCAGAATGTTTCAGAAACACCTGGAAAACTGGCCAGATTAGGAGGGAGACAGGTGGGAGGGAGGCTGGGAAGACAAAATAGTCTTGAGAGGGAAACAGAGACAGCAAGCGAAAAGTTTCTGTGCTATAGGGGAGGGTATCCCTGTTCCTGCCTTAACTTTCCTCTGACTCCTCTCTTCTCCACTCTGCAGGGATGAAGACCTCTGGAGCCTGTATACTGTTGTGTCTCTTAGCACTGTCCTTGTCCCCAGCTGGTGAGTCCTTACGGCAGGGGGAGGATTTCTTCTCCGCCCTGGCCCCGTGGAGTTTCCAACACAGGCTAGTGTGCAGTGACCTAAGGAGGAAGACAGACATGTAGATGAACAGTGAAGGGGGAAGGACTGAACAGGAAAGGCATGGTGGATATAGGGTTGTAAGGAAAAAATTAGGAACTGGGGACTGGTTCCCATGTGTCCGCTTTCCAGTAAGTACTGGGAGTTGCAAGAGGCAGAGCTCCACAGCCTCCACTGCAGGCATGTTTGGGTAAGCAAAACAGCCAGGTCGAGTTGAGAAAGAGGGTTAGCTGTGCTTTGTGCTTACTATAGACTGCTGTACCACCTGTGTTTGCATCATCTGCAGAGCATTTCCCAGTGCTCCACAAGACTTGTTCTGTCATAGCTGTGAAACATTTGCTGTCACTAGTGGTTCCTGCTGGAATGGCCCCATTCCAGGCCACTCGGCTGCCAAGAGGGTTTGTAGGTTTTTTGTATAGCTGTTTGAGAAACCTAACCTCTGTAGTTCAAACCACTCTCTGCTTTTTTGTTGTTGTTGTTGTGTTTTGTTGCTCCACTTCTTTGTTTGCTCAGAGTTACTTTGGCAAAAATTCAGGTGGAATCAAATTTGTTAAAAAAAAACCACAAAACAAACCAAAACAAGAGGGCAGCATCAGACATTATAGTTGGAAGACTCAGGACAGACAGTGAAAGAATATTAATTCTGGTGAATGGAAAAAGCTTTGCCCAGGAAAGACTGTATGTAGGAGACAAGATGACTGCACATATCACATTCAAATCAGGTTATTTCAATCTACTCTTCTCGGTCCTTGCCTCATGCTGAAGCCTGTTTCTGCTCCCAATAGCACTTTTTCCTGTAAAGGTGCACAGTAGAGGATATCATGTTTGTGACTGTGAAGCAGGGAGGAGAGGCATCAAAGAGATGAGCTTGTAGGTGGCCTATAAAGTTAGAGGCAGGAAAAAAACACTGTGGATTTTATGATGCATGAAGGAGGCCTGAAAGGAAGATTTCTTACCTTTTTGTATTTTGGTTTAGCATTTCTGTGTTTTTTTGTTTTAACTTGGAAAACAACAGGAATCACTAGCTGGTCTCTCATTGTCTCTTTTGGTTTTGGGTGAGCTACAGATTCAGTGAATTAGGGTCACAGTTTTCCCAGACCTCAAGGATGAATTTATTGCAGCTTGGACAATAAAGTCCAATCATTTATAAAGCATATGAATTGGGTACCATAGCAAATATAAATTGAAGTGATTGAAGATCTCATAAGGAAGTCACCTCTTTTGTCTCTTCCCCTCATATGCAGAGGTTTCACTTCCCTTGTGTCCTGTTGTTTTAGAATTGGGCCAGTTTTCTAGTTACTTCCTAAGGAGGGGGGCAAAAAAGCTAGTAAGAGCTGACTTTTCAATATGACCCCTGTTTCAAATCTGGTACCTCTGGCCCCTGCGATGGTTTCAGAATTTGTGTCCTTCCTTTTGTATCAGGAACAAATGAGAAAGTGTTCAATGTCATTTTTCTCCTCTACTTGTTACCATTAAGAGATTAGCCAGAACAGGGGAAGTTTTGGGCTGCACTACATGGTGCACTTGAGTTATTATACACATCTGGCTCTCCCTGGGTCAGTCACCAGCAGCTGAGCCCTTGCTGGCAGCTGGGTGGGGAAGGGAATAGCAGGGTCCAGTGACTCCTGTAGTGCTGCAGAGCAGAGTTATATAGGGGTCCCAAGAGTCCCTCTGCAGCCTGGAAGTAACTGCTCTTGGAATGAGGAAGAACTAAGACTAAAGCTCTAGACCTGATAGTTTTTACCCATGCAGTGCTCCCATTAAGAACAGAAAGCTAAAGGCTGAGTTCATAAGATGTAGCAGGGTGTACTGTTTTTTGGGCTGGTCCTGCGCGCATCCCTGCAGTGCCCCAGATCACTGAGTTTTTCCTGCCAACTCCTTCCTTCATCCCACCCCAGTTATGCAGACATTTCCCTCCTCTGTGGCTAGCAGGAAATATTTTCCTATTCCTGGCTGCTGTAGGAAGCAGCTCTCTCACCCTTTATATTTGGACAAATGAACAGTCTAGCTCAGTTTCAATTTCTTCTCTTCCACACAGCATGCACAGCCAAGCCTTCATCATTCTCCTTCTCCAGTGCGCCCAGGGGCTGAGGGGAAAGATCTTCTGCTCCGTCCTCCATACCCAGGCAGGATGATGGACCAGAAAATTATTTGCCTAAGGAGCTACAAGACCTGCAATCTGTTTCTTACTGTGCCAATGACTCAGTCTGTGACCCCAAGCAAATAATTTCCATGACTCAGTTTCCTCTTTATAAAATGGAGATAGGAATTTTGACCAGCCTCCAGAGCAGGGAGGCAATGAGCAGTTTGTTTTCAAAATGCATCAAATGGGGTTTCAGAAATGCAAAGCCCAGTAGCAGATCTGGAGGTATTTACTATCTTGTCCCTGTGCCTAGCCTTTGACCCTGGTGGAAGCAGGAGAGATAGGATCAGAACCCGCTGTATCCACAAGTCATTGAAGAATGAACCCAGCCAGTGGTGGAGGCTGGGGCAGAGAGGAGATAATTTCTCCCTTCAGCAGAGGGCAGTGGTGTCTCCTGGACAGATAAGCACCTCGAAAAAAAAAATTTTTTTTTCACAGAGCCTGCAGAATATAGAAACCCCTCTCTCTTCCTTTCTTCACTCCCCTCTCTTCTTCTCTTGCAGACTGGTTTCCGTGGGTGGTCAATGGGCAAGAACTGGAAAGTGCAACGGGTAAGTATTAGAGGCATGTTATGTGCTAAAGACTGCTCATGTGACCCAGTTGTCCTGTTACAGCCTGTGTAATTGCAAATGCTGTTCTTTGTTTCCTTGCCTCTGACATTGTGAGCTTGTCTTTCAGTGAAGATTAAACAAGCCCTCCAAGACAACCTGCTAAGTGTTGTGTTTTCTTTACAAATAATTCACTACTGTTGGGGTCCTGAACACTTAGCTGAAGCACATGAAGTTACTGTTCACAGTCGAGGGTTGTGGGAGATCCAGGAGAGCTGATAACTCTTCAGCTATGAGATGCTCAGGGAACTCTTCCGCTGCTCAGGAAAATCCCAAGAAAAAGGGTGCACAAGTAGCATGGTGCTTTAGCAGTGAGGCCACTGAGAAAGGGTATTGGCTGGTCTTCATACTGGCTGTGGCGTTAGGGGTGAATTGCTTTATTCCTCTGGACCTTTTTCCATTTCTGTGATGTGGTAAGATAAAATGAACCTATGTTTGCATCATGCTTCAGCACCCAGAAGAACCATAAGGGCCTGTGTTTTCTTCAAACTGAAGCCCCTGGCTAAGCCATCAGACATCTCCCAGCTATGATCCTGTCATGTGCAGTACCTGGGGCTTCCCAGAAAACTGTTCAGCAGCCAGTCCAAAATGTGTCCACCAAGCTTCCCTTTCCTTCACACTTTATCCCTCCATCACACCTACCCCAGCTTTGCCATCAGTCACCTTCCAAAGAAACTCATCTGCTGATGAATTTCTGCAGTCAAGGTTCTGGAGTTGCTTCCCTCCTCCTCTGCAGTGGGTGCCTCAGCTGTCTGTCCTACTGCTGCAAGAGCCATCAGCGCCTTCATTTCAGACATCATTCTTTCCCATCAAGATGCCCAGAGTAGCTGTATCTCAGAAGTCAGAATATGAATCCAGAGTTCAGTAAGGGTTGATGCAACATGTGCACTAAGAAATCCAGTCCCAGGCCAGTCACTGAAAAGGGGGATGGATACAGGTGGGGTGGGGGTACTGTGTTTGTTTATGTGTTTGCTGGATTGGATCCCACTGTCTCATGAGCCTACCATGGCAGCCAAGATAATTCAAGCTAGCTATGGCTAGCTATGTAAGGGACCATAAAGTAAAGATAAGCTATCTCAAGGACATTCTCTCTTTTCCAGGTGAAGTTAGCACCGATGCTCTTACCAGCACCTTCGGTAAGCTCTTATCTCTTGGCAACTTCAGGCTTCTTTTTCTCTTTTCACCTTTACTCCTGCCTACATAGCCCCAGAAATACCCATGATGCTCAGAAACTCCTCTTCCCCACTTCTGACATCTAGCAGTGCTTTTTCAGCGTTTATGGCTATCAGGGAGTCCTTTCTGTGCAGGGAGATGAATTTGGGGTGGCTTAATGGCCTGTTCTCCAAGGAAAGGCCAATCTCACCTGCTGTTAACAGGGCTCTCTGAAGCTGTTTGCACTGCAGGAAGCCATGAAATCTGAAGCTCACGCAGCCTGGGCTTCCAGAGAAGGTTGCAGGTAGGAAGAGACAAAATCATGAAGGAGAGAAATTGGTCAGGTTCACCAGTTAACTGGGCAGCACTGGGACACAGCTAGAGGCCATGCTTGAGTGCTCAGGAGACAGAGGTGGCGAAAAACCTGAAAGACAGTAATAAAGCATATTCTGAGCAGTGGTGGGATGGGGAGGTGGAAATACTGTTCTTTTAGTACTGTCTTCCCTGCTGTGCCTGCAGCCATGTCACTGGGGGACAGCAAAATGTATGCGAAAGATGGCATAGATGGAGGGCACTAGGAGATGAGCGCTTGTAGCATGCAATGTGCCTCCTTAGAGAGCCAAGCCTTGCTGTGGAGATAGCCCCAGGGGAAGGACACAGACCTGATGGGAGTGTAGGCATTTACAAGATAGGCTAATCCTTCTGGACTGACAATGGGGAATGGAGGAGAGGGCCAGAGGCTCAAGAGGGAGCCTCCCCACTTTTTCCATATGAGTCCTGTTTCAAATCTGGCACCACTGGCCTCGATGATGGTTTCTCTCTCTGCTGGGGCAGTCTCAAATGCACCCCTCTGAGGTGGGGGGGACCAGGCAGGGCAGGGAGAGGGAGAATACATCTGGTCGATGATATGGTTCAAAAGACAAAGTTGACGCAGCAGCACTTGGCTGTTGCTGGGAAGTGTGTTCTGTGTGTAGGAGAGCTCATCTGAGAGTGGTGTCCCATCCTCCAGGACAGCAGTTCCATGGTCTCTCCTCTGCCCTGTGAATCTGCTCATCAGCTGGCTAGGGTATTGTGGGTCAAACTGACCAGCTGTCATGGGAAAACACTGGAAGAGAAATGTGGAAGCACAAGATTGTATACACAAGGTGCATGATCTTCCTGGTGCAGACGGGAGGTGAAAACAACCTGTGTCAGTCTTGTGTTCAGTGTGTGAGATCTGACAGTCTGTAGGCGAGTAGATAAGACTTGGTGTCCAGTCCAAACTGGCGGTGGCTAACCTACATCTAAACCTGAAAAGATTAAATATGTAGCCTTTACAGCAGACTTCAGCTTCAAAATGCTTATTGTTGAGGGATCAAGGAGAAACTCTTCACAAAGGACGTGCCATGGGACCCATCTCTGCTCCACAGCATCCCATCAGCTTTAGGACACCCAGCATAGCCACAGGGAAAACCTGCAGTTACTCTGACAAGTCAGATAACGACATCATGATCAGCACTGTCTATGAACCAGATGTGGGATGGCTACTGGTCAGGAGTGGTGAACCACCAGCAGAACTGTGGGAGGGGGAAAGAGGCTGAAAGCTCAAATTAAGATCTTTCAGAACATCATCTTTTTTTCCAGCTGCAGCTGTCACACCACCTGTGCTTCTTAGTCCTGGTGAGTTTATTCTCAATTCACAGCCAAATGTTGTGGACCCCCACTTCCCTCTCCTTGCTCAGTCCCTTGCACACCCAGAGTCCTGCCTTCCCTGACTGCCCCTAACCATAGCCCGGATGCCCAAAAGACTCCTTCTGTCTACGCCCATCTGTTTTGTCTATGCTTCTGGCTGACACTATGGCACGTGAACAGGAGAAGTCTTCTATCTGTAACTGTTGATGAAAACTTATGCCTGGCAGTCAGTCCTCTGAGTTCCTTTCCAGTTTGTCACTCAGTAAATAATAAAATGTACTGGTTTACGGTGGTGCAGGTGGGTTGCTTTATCAGAGGGAACAACAAACCAACGTCCTTTTGACCCCTTGTTATGGTCATTAAAGAACCAGAGGTCTGGGGATGCTGTTTCTTAAAGGAATCACTGTTTCTTAGTAAGATGCAGTCACAGGCTCCTTCGCTTCTTGCCTAGATAGACGGCAATTACAGCAACTAAATACATTTACCCAACTTTTTGAATTATAAGTCAAGATGCCCTTGCAGTGTAGTTTTGAACAGTAGTGGTAATGCTTTGTGGTAAGACTTGGGCAGATTTTTAGCGTTGTTGGGTAGCTGGCACTAGATTCATATTGGATTTGTACATTCTCTTATGGTTTCATGTCAGTAACAATGAAATCTTTTTCCACATTAGAAGTTACAATGGAGGGCTCTTGAAAGAACTTTTCAGTTATTTGTTTTGTGTAAGCTGATGTCTAGGAAGGAATCAAGGTAAATCGCACTAACTTTGCTACCCTCTGTTTTCCAGTTCAGTCTGACAGCGAAACTACGCCGGCTTCATCAGGTACGTTTAAGTTTGCTGCGCAGACCCACTTTCACCCACCCTGTTACTTTTCCAGGCAGGTGCTGGCTGAGCACTGAGCTTTGTCTCCTGGAAAATTCCCTTCACCCTGTTCCTTGAGTTAGAAGTACTGGAGAATGACAGTAGTGGAAGCTGAAGTATTCCCCTGGGTGGCATGTCTGGGAGGGGAAGAACTGGCAGATCACCGGCCCAAATATGCTGGGTCAATATTCTGTCATTGTCAGTGGCCAAGACCTGGCATTTCAGAAGGAAATGCAAGAAAACCCATCATTGTTAGCTACGGGGTTGATTGTCCAGAAAAGAAAGGAACTAGATTTGTGTCCTGAAGTGTGCAATTGCACATGTATTAGAAACATGTGTCTTAAACATGCGACTGCAATTTACATTGTGTTTATTTGTGTCTATCCCCTTTACAGCATGTGCATTCTGTGTTGAGGATTCCCAATGGGCTTGTTTTGCTTTTCACTCAACTTTCCCTTACTTTTGTCTTATGAGGCAAGGGGATCAGAAATGTCTGCCTTATTTTCCTCTTCTCTAAACCATCCCCATCTCTCACAAGAGAGTGGAAAATAGAGGCTAGGGGCCTTCCCTAGAAGCCTGGAGGACTGTATCTAGTGATGAAGTTATATGTGTGCCAGAATTAATGCACCTGCCAATGATGCTGGATTGCACCTCTGTGTGTGTGTGTGTTCCCAGATTGTCGTGAAGAAAAGTTCCCTTGCACACGCCTGTACTCTGTTCACAAACCAGTAAAGCAGTGTATCAGCTACCTCTGTGTTACAAGGTAAGAAACCAGCAGTCCCGAAAAAAAGCCCTAAAAACTCTCCAGAAACGGCATGTACAGTTCAGCAATTGTTTCCTTTGAAGTCTAGAGGTTCCCTCAGGGAACCAGTTGGTGAGATGAATCCTGTCCTCAGAGTGTCCTTTTAGGGTGATTAATTAAAACAGCACAATAACTATTACCTGTGCAGCACCAAGAAGCTGTATTGTGCCCTATATTGTAATCAGTATTTACGGTATTTGGCCATTTCATGAAGTCTTGACAAAGATTACTTTCCTATTGACAACAGCCTTATTCTAGACTAACTAATCCTAAATTTTAGGATTTTCCTCCTCATCAGTGAATATACATGTTTACTCCTGTATCCCGTTTTTGTTTCTTTGGGTCCCTGTGCCTTCTTGCTACTGTCCTTGGCGTGTCCATGGTGGTCCCTCAGTGTGCGTCGCATGTACATAATAAACAAGGAGGTGTGCTCTCGCATTGTCTGCAAGGAGAATGAGGTCATGCAAGGTGAGTGGTAGCACAAGCTATCCTAGAAGAATAGCTGCAGCCATCTGATAGAGTCTCCAAGCTAACTAGTTACCCAGCCCCAATCCATATGTAGTAGTTTCGCTGGACTTGGCTTGTGGGAGCTCTAATGCAATGCAGCCTTGCATCCAGTACACGTGCCGTGAAAAACACTGGGAAGTAGATATTGTACTACCAAGAAGTATGAGAGCTCTGCCTTCCTCGATCTTGATCACGCTCTGCTAGCCCCAGACACACCCTTACTCAAAGTTGCATTCTTTTGAGGTTAAAGAGTAACTCTCAGTATTTCTATTCATGAACAGAAACAGGATCCAGTCTAGATTTTTTATGCAGTCTTTGTTGCAGCAAACTATGAGTGATTTTAATATGTATTGTACATAAATGAAGCCAGAAGGAAATAATAAAAGCCTAAGGACTTGTTCACTTCCCTCATGTACATGAGGATTCAGCAGTTTCTGTAGATGCAGTGAAGGATGTACCTTTAACTGTTCTGGTGGTGAAGAATTTGAATATTTGAATGAATCTTTGTTATTATCTGTCAACTTGTGTGTGTCTACTATATTTTCAGATGAGATCTGTCGCCAGCTGGCTGGCCTTCCTTCTCGACGTCTCCGCCGATCTGGGCAGCCCCAGCATCTCCCTTGCAGACAGCTCCTGGAGCAGCAGCGCAGGATGCCTGATGCTCTGTGAGCTACCAACAGTAGGAGAGAAAAAGGAAGGGAGAGAAGAGAAATCATCATCCACTACCTACAACCCAAGACAAGTCCTTCTCGTTTGTGATTTCCCCACTGTTTCCTTGCTTCTCTGCCTTCCCCCACATCCTCTTCTTCAGGTGCTGCAGTACACAGAGTCCCCTCTCTGCTAGTCCGTCATGGTGGCTGTTGTCATCTTCTAAATCTGTTGCTGGGGATGTGGGTTGCTCCCCTCTTTTCTCTCAACGTCTGTTTGGCATGCCATGAACTGCTCGTTTCCCAGAGGTCCTTATAAATGTGCTGCATCTTCTCTTGCTTTGCATCTGCAGAGAGACATACATAGGGACAGGATGCAGTCCTCTCCAATGGTACAGATGCGCTAAGCTGCATCTCATGTGGAGGAATGCAAACCTTTATGCCCTAGGACTCCTGGCCTAGGTTTCTTGCATGGCATCAGTATGAGTTTGGATATGGTTAGTCAGCCTGAGCCTCTCCAGTCCTCCTGAGCCACTGAGTTTGCTGTGTGATAGCACAGCCTCCTCCTGTGTCTACTGGCCTCAGAGAAGTGACAGAAGTGGGAGATGAGCTGTCCTCAACCCAAGGCAAACCTCATTGTCCCTGTATGGCAGCAGATCATTTATAACTACCTCTGGGAAGTTCTTTGTCTCAAGCCCATTGCCTCCCTTACACACAACTGCTACCGAAAGGAAGAATTCTGGATTTAGTATGGCATCATATTTTTCTCAAGAAGATGTTGGAACAGAGTGCTGCCTGTTTCCTCTCCCTCCTCTCCTCTCCCCCATTCTGTCCTTCACTTCCCATTGAAGAAATCTCTTGATGCCATTCCAGGCAAGTTCCAGGGAGCAGTAAGTATGGCTGCCTCTGCTCCTAAGCCCAGGAGAGCCCACGAAGAACCTGTGTGTCCTCGCAGTACTGGGAACTTGCAATGAATTAGCTTGTCCTGGTGACTTGTCTTGGTCTGGCTACCTCCACACTCTCCAGTTGCTGAGCCTGCTTTCAGTATCGCCACTTGAGTTCCTACCTCCTGACCTGGGAGCTCCTGCACAAAGCAGAAAGGAGTCACAAATTGGAATGGGATGTGGGAGAAGAATCGTTATCTGGGATCCCTGGGTTTTCCTGCAGGTTCTCTGGCTGTGCTGACCTGCACAGATCTAGGTGCTGATGGGGAGGTAAACGTATCTGCAGGTATAAGTGCTTATAGGGCAGGCCAACCTGGGGAAAAGAATTCACTCTGGTAGCACCTGAATGTCTGTGGTCTGCTCAAGAACTTTGTTTTCCAGATATATGGAGAACAGTTCCAGGTATATGGACAGTTTTCGCTATAAGACTGGGTAGGGTAAGTGGGGAAGAGCTGTCTGAAGTGTATTAATCACTCTGTGTGACTCTCAGTGGCATGATTCTGTGGGGCATGGGAGCTGAGCAGCTTAACTCACTGCAGCAGCAGATCAGCAAGACCCTGTCTCTAGGACCTCTAAGCATTGTTCCCAACTAACAGAAAGCCAGTTTGCTAGAGTAGGCATTCACTCCCATCACAGAATATACTTTGCTGCTGAACTGAGTACCATTCAGCACTGGTCTGCTGCACAGAGCCAGGGCCAGACAATATAGGGGACAGTTTGCTGCCCAGAGGCAGATGTCTCAGAAAAAAAGAGCAAAACAATTAAGTTAAGAGCCTCTCCCTAGGACTCGAATTTCTGCTGTATGCAGCAAAAAGCTGGTTACATCCTCTTTGTAGGGGAAGACACCCTGTACAGACATAGATTTGTTCTGTGTAAGGTCAAAATTGGCCATAGATGGGCTAAATCTCTCTATATTAATCCACTATACAGGAGAAAGAATTCCAAGTTATGCAGTGACTGGAATTTCATCCTACACATAGGGGCATTGCACCCCTACACAGAGGATGATGCTCCTCTTGAGTACTTGAAGCTCATGAGACTAGGGATGGAGGAGGAATTTCTCTGTACTGAGAGTGTGCATGTTTCTGTAGAGAGGAGGGCACTGAGAGCTTGATCTCAAAGATGTTCAAGCCACTGGCAGCCACTGACTTCTATGTTGGGTTGCATGTGGAATCTGTCTGTGTGGAGGAAGGTGGGATGGAGGCGAGATGTTAGAGGGAGCTCTTGGAAATTGGACTAGGCCAAGTCTCCACTCTGTATTTAGAGTTGAATGTAAGCTAATCTAGATATATAACTGTATAACATAGCTACTGTACAGTATATAGAAATTTTTCATACAGTTTGGGGAACGGTTAGAAGCCTTTCTATTGCTTGCTTTCAGCAGGGAGAGGAAGAGAAGCTCCTCTCCAGGAGAACACTGTTTTCGTGCTAGAGTCCATATAATGCACACAAAAATATTAAAAGAAAATGTATTTCCTGTTATTCTTGGCAACTCTCATGTGTTTGGGTTTATTTGTCTCTAGCTGTATTTCTTCCAGATTTGTGGGCAGACTTGACTCCATCCCAAATCTGTCATTTGAACCTCTTTGCTCCCTGCTAGCCCAGTCTTCCACTGCCTTCACTCATCAAAGGTCTTCCTGGGAGGTCATTATTTTTTCTAGAGATGCAGAAAGTTATCTTCAGCATTTTTTTTCCATGGATAGCTGTGCTAGATTTTCCTGACAGTTGATAGCTGCTGAGCACAGGGATAACTCCTCCCAGCCCATGAGATTTGTGCTGAGAACAGACCTTTTCACAGTGCATGTGCCATAACTTGCTGGTGGAGAATTACCATCTCCAAGTAAAATGGTAAGATGGCTGAAATAAGAGAAGAGCTGTGATAAATCACCTCATAAGCAAAGAAGAATTTGTTCGCTAGAGCCATTTAACTCAGTAATGGGAATAACTGAAAGACTACATTAAAAATTGCACATCTAGGTCAAAAGGATTAGGAAAATTTCTCTTTCATTGAATTTCTGACTTTTGCATAGATTTATCAGGCACTGACTGTACATCATATTTTGGTCGAAAAGATGGAGCACAGAGCATGGAGGCCTCTAGGCAGCGTCTTCATGTGCAAGCAGTCAAGTCTGCATTTAGATGGTATTTCTAGAACAAAAGTGGCTATGGCCCAAATTATCCATCAAGCTGCCTCTGACAGTGTCCCATAGTTCTTCAGAACTAAATCACACAATGCAGGTTATTGCACAACACTGTCCCTTAGAATCGGTGCTCCTTCCTGGATAACACTGCGGTGTCCCTATGTTGGACTGTTATAATGAAAACAGCCTCAGCCCGAGTGACTGTAGATGTTGCTCCCATCTACACAGGCCTGGCCTTGCTCTGGCTCATGAGCTCTTGGCCTTAGCAGTGCCTCTCTATCGACACATTCCACCAGCTGTGTGAGCAGAGTACAACATATGCCATTGACTTTTTGTAATTCAGTTTATTCTCCTTGTCCTTACAGTACTGGAGTCCAAAAGGCTTCCCCATCTTCATTAGCGCTTATCCTATACACAGATTTATCTCCCCTGCCACTCCAACCTGAATTGCCATGATGCTGCATTGCTGGTCTCTGGATGTTGCCTTCTCTTGGGGAAATGGTTTTAAATATAGCTCCAGCCAGGTCTGTTTCTCACGAAGTTGGACTAGCCACAAAGCAAGCTGCCAGAATCCCATTTTAGAAGCACGATCTAGAGTTTGTGGCTGATTTTCATAAACTATTCTGACCCGGAGTGGGAGTTAGAAGGCCTGCAGTTACTTCCCACACAATGGGTTCTTGCTCATTTTGGTGTCACGGCTCCTGAGTAACGATCAGTGTTGCCAGTTTGAAGGCTGCTGTTTTAAGGCCAGTGCTCTGATGCCTGGTCCCCAGTTTGAAGCGGTACCTCACTTTGCTAGTCATATGGAGCTGGAGCTCCCTGCAGGGGAAGCTGGCCACACTAAGGGCTTTCTGCTGCACCTGGAAAGCAGGGGTTGTTCCACCTTCCCATCTCTCCTTCTCCTCTTTGTTCTCTGCCTCTATTTTCCTCATCTCTTCTCTTTCTTCTCTGTTCATATGTTCATCTTGGAGCAAGAAACATGGTGAGGAGGGCAGTGGGGTGAGGTGGGGCGGCAGGAAGGGTGCTCAATGAGGTGACCCACGGCATTGCCAAGTGGGGCTGGGGGCAGTGCTTGGCCCATGCCAGCTCTCCTTTTCTCTTGCCCTCCAGTTGTCACACGCTGCGGCTCCCTCAGCTGCCAAGCTTGGGATTTTCTGAAGGGAAGGACATGCCAGTCAGAGCAGGGAGGGGAGAATGGCACCTCAGGTCAACTTGTGCACTGTGGGAACAGCAACTGCATGTCTTGAGATGGCGGCCCCTGGTTGCAGGAACAAGGCAAGGAGGAAGGGGAGTGCTGCAGGAAAGCACAGAGAGGCTGTTGGAAGCAGCTGCCATGTCACCTGGAAGCTCCATGTTGCCTGGACCTTGTCCACAAGAATCCACAGCATGAACAAAATGTGCTGTCATCAGGCCTCTCAGCTTGGAGGGATCCCACAAGAGCATACTGCTGGCTGGGTTGTGGGCTTGTCCTTCACAGAGGGGAGCAGTGCTTGCAACCCATCCAAAAAGAGCACCTCTATTACATAAAGAATAGCTGGCTTGAAACCAAAAGGATTTTAGTTAAAAACAACAACAAAAAAAGAAGTTGTAGGTTTTTTTAAAAAAGATTTTAAAGGTGCGTGATCCCATAACATTTACTCCTGGCACCACATGATCTGACATTGTTTGACAGTGTACAGTTGTGAACAGCCCCTTGACTGGGGCACAGGAAATCCGAATTCCATTTCTGTATCTCCTTTTCACCTCCTGCTCTCTGATCTTCAGCGTATTGTTTCACTTCTCTCTGTTCCCTGCCATCCTTAGCCCTTGTAATGTAGCAAGCTGGAATAAAGTCCCACAAAATAGAGAGCTGGATTTAGTCCATTAAAAAAAAAAACCCTCTAAAAAAAATGTGTGTGAAACATCATGAATGAATTTGCTTGTCTACTTTTGCTATTGATGTAAATGTTTTTTTCAAATAAAAATGTTTTCAATAATATAAGTTATATCAGTTAAAATGCAAGCTGCATGTACTTGCTGCTACTATGTTGAAGTATATAAAAAAACTGAATTGGTGAAAGTCATCAGCAGAGTAAAGCTTCATTTAATGAATAAATTCTCTTTCAGAATGCTGTTTTGAGCATTTTACTAAGATTGC